TAGATAGTAATTAACCATATCACTAATCATCCTATTAAAAAAGGATAAATTAAGTGTTGTTACCAATTAATATACTTTTGACACATGATTAAAGTTACCAATAAATTAATATAGTTTTACCATGTGATTAATATTTTAAACAATAGGTGCAAACATATGGATATGTTAATAGATGCTATTAAATTTTTTAATATTACACATATATCAAATTAAAGGTAATTAGTGTAGATATTTTACAAAATTAAGGTAAAGTTACAACTATATCTTAATATTTTAAATTATTTGGAGAGAAAATTTTTATGATTAATTTATCAATAAACTTTTAGGCTCCATATTACGGTTGTAGCATGTTAAATACATGTTGTTGAACTGGTTCATAAAACAAATATATTAATTAGTGTTAAATGTAATTAACTTAATATAAATATATTAATTAGGGTTGAACTTAATATAGATATATCACTCGACTGCTTACGTAATTTAAATAAAAATATAAAAAATTTTAAATTCTATGCGTTGATTAGGTATAATAATTATGGTAAAATAATATAAAATTGTATAATTTACTCCATTTTTGTTAACAGTGATACATATATTATATTAACGTCTTTGGTAGATTAGGTGAAATATGTCAAGCTGTAATTGTTTGATGATGCAATTCTATTGGGGAGGAAAAATTGTGTATGCTGGCGGGTCAATATCATATGATCCACCGTTGCCCAAAAAGATCATGCTCCTCACAGAAAGGATGAATTTTGATGGATTGGTGGACATCGTATATAATTTGATGGAGTTAAACCGAAATACTCATACAATTAACTTGATATTTCGGAATTGCGTGCAAAATGGTGTGTTCGGTGCCACGCTCTTGGTAGATGATAATGAAGTTGACGGAATGTATTTTTTGAAAGTCAATAGTGGTCATGGGATGGGATATATATCGAGGTTGAATCGATTCTAGATTTCAAACATGATAATATGCAAAACTTGCATATTATAAGTTTGCATGGTAATCAAGACCCAAGCATATATGGATCAGAACATATGGATGTGGTGGGGACAATTGGCTTATACGAGAGTCAATTGACCCAAATAGATTGTGAAAATATCCGATCGGCTCGAAGATCTAGGAAAAAGGGTAATGGATGCCTCATGGAGGTTAATCGTCCCAGTAGTAGTCACCCAGTAATGGACACGGAATCCATTATAAGTTATGGTGTGGACATTGATACGTGTACAGTTGGGGGTTTGGGGAAGATAACGACATTGAATTTGTTGATGTTGATGTTGCTGCTGTAAGAAAAAGCGGTCCGAACAATGTCAACATGTGGATGCTTGAGTCGTGCTAGAAAGCACTGTCCTAAGAAACTATTTCAGGGTATTGAAATGTTTTCCCAGGATTAAACAAGTCTTCCTCTACTTTGTGAGAGGGACGTAGAACCAGCAAAAAAACTTGTTTCTAACCCAGCAGAAAAGTAAGAACGTTGTGAAGGATAGACAAAGGAGGAGGTAGAGAGAGTTTTGAAGTGTAGACTTCGTTTTTTGCAGTGCAAAATGAGCCTGGAAACTGGTTCTATTTATAAGCTTCACGGGACAGAAGAAGATAGAATTTTGAAAGCTAATTTTCCGTGAGAATAAGCTTGCTTCCCTTGCCAGACTTATCTTTTGAAGTAGTCAGAGGTTTATCCTCTGTGGTGATAAGTTTGGAAAAGGTCAAGTCATTTGAAAAAAAAAGGCCATCCGAAACTTAACTTCCTATCTGGCACTTGAACTTGCCTTTTAGTCAAAGCCTTATCTTTGGAAACTTCTCCATCAAAATAGAAATAACCATTTCTGATGAAGTATTATCAGATAAAGCTCTAGTCCGAAACAAACGAAAAAAATCTTTTGAAATATCAAGTTTTTTACAACAATCTCCCACCTATTTCAAAAGATTTTGGACAAAAAAGTATAAACATTTGCTGGATTTGTCTGAGCTCAATGTAATCAGTTTGGTGTTTTTTGGACTATGAACCAAACTTAAATTGATAAAATATGTCTTATAGAATTATTGGTGAAAAATATCTTTCTATGAACCAATAATTCTTATTGTATGACAGAGATCTTATCAATCATATTATAACTCATAATTTTGCCGTTCAATGCAGTTTCACGCATTTAGGCCGTGCGCCTGCTTGGTTGTTCATGAGAACTCTAAAGATTCGGCCAAAAATCTTATAAGAGCGGCCCCACTCCACTCACATATAGTTGAATTTATCAAGTGTATACTGCCCTAAATACACCTCCCTGAAGGGATATAAATTTATTAAGAGTATTAAACTCAGCCTCACAATTACTAGCAGTCAAAGCACTTAATTTTGAAGGGACTTAAATTTCAAGTGCTTTATAGTGAATATCGACTTGTTATTACCCATATGAACCTATTTCATGGGATCACCAATCACATAGGTTGGATTACCATCTCTATTGACAACCGTTGGCCTAAGTCCCATCTTCCTTGTAGTTTGAAGAATTAATCTTCTTCCTACAAGTTTAGTCAGAGGATCGGCCAAATTCAACTCTGACTTCATAAAATTAATGGAAATAATTCCATCTTTAAGCAACTGCTTTACGACATCATGTCTTAATCTCATGTGTCGACTTTTACAATTATAAGATTTATTTTTTGCAATAGCAATAGCCGCTTGACAGTCACAGTGTATAGACACAGGAGGCAACAGATCCTTAATAGGAGGAATATTGACTAAGAAATTTCTTAACCAATCTGCCTCAGAGCCAGTCAACTCCAGAGCTATGAACTCCGATTCCATAGTTGACCGAGCAATAATTGTCTGTCTGGCTGATTTCCATGCTACCGCACCACCACCAAGGGTGAACACATAACCACTAGTGGATTTTGTATCATTTGGATCAGAGATCCAGTTAGCATCACTGTAACCCTCTAATACAGTGGGAAATCCACTATATAGGATACCAAAATTCATAGTACCTCTCAAATATTTCATTAGTCTGACTAATGCCAATCAATGCTCACGATTGGGATTGTGAGTATATCTACTCAGTCTACATACAGCATAAGCTATATCCGGTCTAGTGAAATTCATCAGATGCATCAGACTCCCAATGATCTGAGCATATTTAGACTGAGCAATTGGGTTGCCATTATTTTTCCTCAATTGAGTGTTAGCGTCATAAGGAGTAATCACAGGTGTTACATCATAATTTTCAAACTTCCTAAGAAATCTCTCCATATAATGTTCTTGTGATAACATTATACCATCACCTCTCCTTATGATTTTAACACCCAATATCATTTTGACTTCACCCAAGTCTTTCATATCAAAATTAGAGGACAAAAAGTATTTAGTACTATTTACAATATCTAGACTAGTACCAAATATAAGCATGTCATCCACATATAAATTGATTATCACATATTGATCATTTATAATTTTGACATACACACATTTATCCACTTCTACAGATGAGAATCCATTTTTTATCAATACTTGATCAAATTTCTCATGCCACTGTTTAGGAGCTTGTTTTAGGCCATAAAGAGATTTAATTAGTTTACAAACCTTATTTTCTTGTCCAGATACAATACATCCCTTAGGTTGAAACATATAAATTTCTTTCTCTAAATCACCATTTAGAAAGGCTGTTTTGACATCCATTTGATGAATAACAAGTTTATGGATAGAGGCTAAAGCAAATAAAACTCGAATAGACGCAATTCTTGTTATTGGTGCAAATGTATCAAAATAGTCAATATTTTATTTTTGAGAAAATCCTTTTGCTACTAAACGAGTTTTGTACTTTTCTATACAGCCATCAGAGTTATATTTTCTTTTAAAAATCCATTTGCAACCAATAGGTTTTGCACCAGGAGGTAAATCTACCAAAATTTAAGTTTTATTTGGCAAGATAGAATCGATTTTAGATTTAATTGCTTCTTTCCAAAACTTACAGTAAGGGGAAGAAATAGCATCAGAGTATGTTAAATGATCATTATCAACAAGAAAAGTTTGAAAATCATTTCCATAAGAAAATTCTTTTCTTAGCCTTTTACTCCTTCTTAATTTCTCATTCGGAATTATTTCTCTATTTATTTCAACAGGTGCATGAGAAATCTTACTAGACAGTGGAAAAATGTGTTCAAAAAATTCAACATTCTTTGTCTCAATAATTGTATTACAATCAAGCACATCACTTCTTAAAACAAGAAATCTATATGCAGCACTATGTTCAGCATATCCAATAAACATACAATCAGAAGTTTTAGAACCTAATTTTCTTTTCTTAGATTCAGGCAACAATACTTTAGCAAGACACCCCTATACTTTTAAATATTTCAAATTAGACTTATAATTTTTCCATAACTCACAAGGGGTTTTGCCAGTTTTCTTATGAGGTATCCTATTTTGTAAGTGACATGCAGATAAAATAGCTTCTCCCAATAAATTATTAGGAGCATGAGAACTAACTAACATAGAATTCATCATTTCTTTTAATGTTCTATTTTTCCTTTCAGCTACTCCATTAGATTCTGGCGAATAAAGAGGTGTTGTTTCGTGTATTATACCTTCATGTTCACAAAATTTATCTAAGGCTAAATATTCGCCTCCTCTATCAGACCTAATTCATTTTATCTTCTTATTAAGTTAATTTTCTACCTCAAACTTATAAGATAAAAAGGCATTATGAGTATCATCTTTATTTCTAAATAAATAAAGTTTAGTATATCTAGAGTAATCATTTATAAAAGTAACATAATATTTTTTTCCACCTCTAGTCATAGTTTTTTTTAAGTCACCTAAATCTGTATGAATTAAATTTAATAGTTCAGTTTCTCTTTGAACAGTTAAACAAGTCTTCTTTGTCATTTTAGTTTATGCACATATCTCACATTTATCCATTTTATCATTAATACCAAAAATTAGACCACAAGATTGCATTTTCTTTATATAACTAATATTAATATGTCCTAATCTTACATACTATAAAGAAATCGAGTCAACAATATAAGCAGAAGAAGAAGCATTCTCATTTATCACATTGGAAATGTTAAGTACAAAAAGTCCCTGATTACAGTAGCCCTTGCCTACAAATACATTATTTTTAGTTATTATAATCTTTCCAGATTTGAATAACACTTTCACTCCAACTTTTCCTAGCAATGCTACGAAAACCAGATTTGCCCGAATGTTGGGCACATGCAGCACATCATTGAGAGTCAAAGTTTTTCCTGAAGTGAGTTTCAAGAATACTTTGCCCTTATCCAGAACATTAGCCGTTCGTGAGTCACCAAGGTAGACCACTTCTTCATCATCCCCTATAGGAGTATAGGAGGAAAATGCTTCTCGATTTGCACATATGTGCCGAGTAGCCCCAGAGTCTACCACCCACTCTTTGACATTGGCTATAATGTTCACTTGAGAGATGATAGCAGCAATTATATCATCTCCTTCGGTTAAGTGCACCTTAGGAGGATTACCATTTGCTCTGTCACCTTTATTAAGTCTGCATTGTAATGCATGATGTCCTGGTTTTCCACAATAAAAGCAATTGCTTTTCCTTTTTTTAAAGTTGGGATTGTTAGGCTTGAAATTAAAATTTTTGGGCTTATAATTCTGGGATTTATTGGTGTACCTTTTATTATTGCTTTGTACGAGATTGGCTTTGAAAGCCATCTCCTTTGCCTTGGTAGCTCTTGACTCCCTTTTGTTTGAATCCTCAATGAGGATGTGCTTCACGAGCTCAGCCATGGTATAATTTTTCTCCTTGTGTTTCAAGTTATTTTTATAGTCAGCCCATGACTCAGGTAGCTTTTCAATCAGCATGCCTGCAGCGAATTTCTCAGGAAGATTGATGTCTTCATTTTTCAAGTCCTCTAGCAGCATTTGATATTCAGTGATTTGAATTTTCATCTCCTTGTCATCAGTCATTTGCCATTGATTGTATTTTCCTATGATGAATTTTTGCTTGGTTGCATCTTCGACAGTAAACTTTGTTACCAAGGCTTCCCAAATAGCCTTGGCTTCTTTGCTGCTACAGTAGACGTCAAATAATTCACTAAAGAGTGTTTGAAGGATAGTGTGTCGACATACCTTATTGGCATATTGCCATGCTTCTTGAGTCTTGGCATCCGCAGTTGCAAAAGGTTGAGATTCAGTGAGCGCATAAGCTACTCCATGGATGTCAAGTAGAGAGTGCACACGTTCTTGCCATCTTTTAAAATTTTCATTGGCGAAAATTTCAATTTTGGATACATCCGGAAAGGGCTTGGCGAATGGTAGTGCCACTGCAACAGTTGCTTAGATTGTAGGAAAAAGCGGTCCGAACAATGCCAACACGTGGATACTTGAGTCGTGCTAGAAAGTATTGTCCTAAGAAACTATTTCAGGGTATTGAAATGTTTCCCCAGGATTAAACAAGTCTTCCTCTACTTTGTGAGAGGGACGTAGAACCAGTAAAAAAACTTGTTTCTAACGCAGTAGAAAAGTAATAACGTTGTGAAGGATAGACAAAGGAGGAGGTAGAGAGAGTTTTGAAGTGTAGACTTCGTTTTTTGTAGTGCAAAATGAGCCTGGCAACTGGTTTTATTTATAAGCTTCACGGGATGGAAGAAGATAGAATTTTGAAAGCTAATTTTTCGTGAGAATAGGCTTGCTTCCCTTGCCAGACTTATCTTTTGAAGTAGTCAGAGGTCTATCCTTTGTGGTGATAAGTTTGGAAAGGTCAAGTCATTTGAAAAAAAAAGGCCATCCGAAGCTTAACTTCCTATCTGGCACTTGAACTTGCCTTTTAGTCAAAGCCTTATCTTTGAAAACTTCTCCATCAAAATAGAAACAACCATTTCTGATGAAGTATTATCAGATAAAGCTCTAGTCCGAAACAAACAAAAAAAAATCTTTTGAAATATCAAGTTTTTTACAACAGCTGCTGACTCCGAACTCGAACCAGATGATGATTCCGATAATGACAACCCTGTGTATGGTTCATTTTCTCATAATAAAAATTTAAGTGAAAGTCAGTTCACGCGGGATCATCAAGATCATAATACTCAATGGACCTTTGATGAAGGACCACAACTGCGATATAAAGCCGTTGTTGATGCTGCATTAAAATTTGATCCACTGGATGCATGTGGGGTTGAGAAGCTAAAATTGTGGAATGAACGCACGAAAGAGTTAGAGCTTGGCTAGCTATTTGAAACCAAAGACCATGTAAAGCAAGTAGTTAAATTGTGGTCTATAAAGGAAAATGGAGAGTTTAAAGTCCGTGAAAGTATCCTACAACTTGCTATGTCAGATGTAGGGCTCGCACCTCTATACCTCCATGCAATTGGCAACTTAGGGCAACCTTACGTAAATCTCACAAGATGTGGGTGATCGTTACGTTTACTGAAAAGCATACATGTGTCCGTGTATGTGGCAACAACGATCATAGACAATTGAGTGGCGACATAATAGCTGAGCACATTATCCCTTACATAATGAATGGGCTAGTGTATAGAATCAAAGAAATATTAACGTCAGTGAAAAAAGAATTCCATGTTGACATTTCATACAAGAAAGCCTGGTATGGCAGGCGTAAGGCTATAAATATTGTCTATGTCGATTGGCCTATGTCCGTTGCACAGCTCCCAACGTATATTTAGGAATTATAATATACCAATCCGGGTACGGTGGTTATGTGGGATCATCATCCACTGAGTATTTCGAGCAGTCCAATATTTGACAATATATTTTCGGCATTTGCTCCTGCCATTGAAGGGTTTCGTCATTTAAAACCCGTTATTTGTGTAGATGGTACATTTTTAAAGGCTCATATCGTGGAAAGATACTAAGTGCTGTTGCTTTCGATGCTGACAATTATTTATTTCCTCTGGCTTTCGCATTAGTAGAGGAGGAGAATAATCGCAGTTGGAGTTGGTTCATGAGACTATTGCATATTCACGTGTGTGGTAATATTCAAAGTATATGCATAATTTCATATCGCCACCATGGAATAATTAACGCAAGAAGGATGCTCCCAGAATGGAAAGAACCACTAGTAGTTCATCGATTTTCCTTGGTTCATGTGCGGAGCAATTTTACGCAGAAATTCAAGAATTAAAGGTAACATTATTTCTTAACTTGTTTAGGGTTTAATTTCGTTCATATGAAATGAAATATTCTTAACGCCTTTTATAACCACCAATGCGTAGGCTTAAAGATCTTGTATGGGCTGCCGGAACATCAAATCAACCTCGAAAGTACGAGGAATACATGCAACAAATATTTATATTAAATGTAAAGGCATATGCATGGTTGACAGGAGGTTCAGTTAGACCCATACAGTGGGCCTTATGCAAAGATGGGGGCTATCAGTGGGGACACACATTTACAAATATAGACGAATGTTTTAACAACTTAATGAGGGATACTCGGATGTTTTCGATCACAGCATGTATTCGGTTTATACTTAATTAGACACTTGATCTGTTCGTCGAGAACCTAAAGATCACAAAGGATCAGGTGTACCTACTCCCAAAAAAAAGTTGAAAAAAATATTTGACGAATGAAGAAAATGGGCGAGCACACTCTATTATAGTGTATGATCCCATTAGGGGAGTGTTTTGTATTACTACTGCTCATCGACAAAGTCATCGGGGTGGCAACGCGCAAACTGTTGACCTTACAAATCAAACATGTATGTGTGAAAAATGGAGGGAATTACGATTTCCGCGTTCACATGTGTTCGCAGCTTGCTTTAGGTCCAAAATTAATCTGATGACTCTTGTGGCACCGAAATACATATTTTCTTTATACCAGGCTACATTTTCTGGTCATTTTTATCCGCTTAGGGACACAAAATATTGGCCGATAGCGGATTTGCGATTGCATATTCTAGGTGATCGTTTGAAACAAAAGACTCTGGGGCCTTTAAGGATTGCTAGAATCCAGAATGAGATGGATCGAAGGTGTCCGGATGCTCCACGTCAGTGTAGTAACTGTTTGCAATCCAAACACACTGCATCTAACTGCCCATATTCTGGTTACTTTCATCAATAGAATGTTAGGATTAATTTGTCGTGAAATAAACACATCCATATTTGTGTACTTTCTGAATATATTAATGAAATGCATTCTTCTGTTATGAATATTAATCTTCTGTTATGTTGTATATGAGATTTTTCTCTTGTTGCTTTTTAGTGGCATTTATTTATTTTGGCATATATTTTTTATAATGCACAGCTAATTTGACTAATAATAATTTAGTTGCAGGCATAACTGTCCATGGATCATTGGAATGCTGTGGAACCCCCAGGTCAAGGGCCGATTGACCCTTCTATATTATATTTAGAGCCACACCACAGGTCCGCTGCTGTATTTCATGGCGCATCTTGTGACCTAGATGTCAGAAGATGTGACAAAGAATTTTTTAAACCCTTTATGCATATAGACCCTCGAGTAACTGATTACATCAACATGGCTGTATTTGGCGGGGTATGTAAAGCTGGTTACATTCATGTGGATCATGGATTGATTATTACACTTGTCGAGCATTGGAGATAAGAGATACACACATTTCATCTCCCAATTATAGGCGAGGCTACCATCACCTTGCAGGATGTTGAGGTGCTGTGGGGCCTGCGTGTTGATGGCCTTCCTGTTACCTTGAATCATATTAGACGGAGTTCCTTACAACGCCAACAAATGGTATACGATCTTTTAGGAGTTTGGCCAGAGAATAGGCACTTTCGAGATGGGCGACTGAAGATGTCATTCATAAAGGCATGATTACGGGCAGCATTGGAGCCCAATGCTTCTGAGGAGATGGTTCGTCAATATGTTCGAATGTACATACTAATTCTATTGGAAGGTCTACTATTTGCAGATACCATAGGCAATGTTGTTAGTACAAATTGGCTCGATTATGTACAAGACTTGGAGGTAATGGACAAATACAATTGGGGAAGCGCGGTGTTGGCCTGTTTATACTTGCGGGTGTGTATTGCTTCTCGAGCAGAAACTAAGAGTACTGGTGGGCCTTACTTATCACTATAGGTAAATAAAAATATATCTCATAAACTATTTTTGCTTAAACACTGTCGATACCAAATTTTTACCAAAATTTTGTCAAATTTTTATGTGATGAGTCATTTATTTTCTTTCATTTTAAAGTATATTTTTCTCTTTTTTTTGTAGGTTTATTTTAAGAAAAGAAAATCATGAAAAAGAAAAAAATCAATAAAAAAAAGAAGATCAAAATCAAAAATCATGACTAACTTACACATTTTCATCATTTTCCCTACCAAATACACTTAACTCATTCCTACACTCAACTTTCTTCACCTTTCTTGTCATTTGGTAAAAAATCATCATTTGACCAAACACACACACAAACTTCTCTTTATCTCTCCCAATATTGACTCTCTCGGCTCTCTCTCAGAAGCAAGCCACAAAAGAAAAAAAAACCAACTCTCCACTCCCCAATTCTCCCACTCGGCTCCTTCTTCTTTTTCACCCAACATACTCCACAAATCAAACAAAAAGGGGGAACTAGCAGTCAGGCCATTGAGGTTTAGGAATTTCACCACAAAACTCAAACGAGTGACTGCAATATTCTATAGGTATTTCTTTCTTCTTTTTTTTTTTGAGTTTTGTTTTTCACATTAAATTCATATTTCGTTGCTTATTTTCTCTTGTTTTTGCTGCCTTGCATTGTTGTTGTTGTATTGTTAAAAATTTGGGAAATGGCATGAACCAGATTTAGGAAAAGGAAATGTTTCTTATGTATGCATATTAACTGTTTGATAAAATGTCAAAATGGAAAACGAATTAAAAGCTGAACATTGTGTATTTTCTTTTGTTAAAATAGATGACCATTTGACAGTGTAGGTCCGAAAATGTGTGGTTATTCAAAAATTTTGGAGTTTTGAGTGTTAAAAGTTTTTGAAGGTTTTTTTTTTATTTTTTTAACTATTTTGGGTAAATTTTGTCATATTTATTGTTGTTTTTATCGATTTTAGTTCATAGTTATGTTGTAAAAATCACAAGGAGTGTTGTGGTATAAATTTTATGTTTTTTTTTTTTGTGAAGATTTGAGTGTTAAAAAAAATAAAAACTAGACTGGCTTTTGCTATTTTGACCACTTTGCTTTCCTTTTTTGAAAAAAATAACTCTGGAAATGAAA